AATCTATAAAGAACTTAAAAAAATCAGACCTCCCAAATTTAAAGACCCAATCCAAAAATGGACATCTGACATGAACAGACATTTCTGAGACAAAGAAGTAGAAATAGCAAATAAACATATGAAAAAATGTTCAACATCACTGGTCATTCAAGAGATGCAAATAAAAACAAAGCTGAGATTCCACCTCACCCCAGAAAGAATGGCTGCTATCATGAAATCAATGAATAAGAAATGCTGGTGTGGCTATGGGGAAAGAGGAACACTGCTCCCCTCCTGGTGGGAGTGTAGAGTGGTGTGACCACTGTGGAAATCGGTATGGAGATACATCGAACAACTAGGACTGGAAATCCCATTTGACCCAGCCATTCCCCTACTGAGTATCTTCCCCAAAGAATTAAAAGAATCATATCACAGTGATACATGTGCACCCATGTTCACAATAGCACAGTTTGTAATAGCTAAAACTTGGAACCAGCCCAATTGCCCATCAACTTCAGACTGGATAAAGAAATTGTGGTCTTTTTATAAAATAGAATATTACTCAACCATAAAAAATAAGAAATTAGAGACCTTTACAGCTAAATGGATGCACATTGAGGTGATACTCTTAAGTGAATAAATATGACACAAGTGTAAATACTGAATAGTTTCTCTAGTGTGAGAAACTGAAAGTGTAAATAAGCACTAAAAGGTATAATAGGATAATGTGAAATAGGAAATAAAGGGGCAAAGGGGAAGGGGAAGTGGGAGGGGTAGGGGAAAAGAAAGAAGGGAATGGAGTTAATATAAGAAAATGCAAAAATGGAAACAGTCTTTGTAAATAGGGAAGGATGGAGGGGTTGAAGGGAGGGTAGAGGAAGAGGGTTAAAATAAGAACCAAGAGAGATTATGTAAAGGTGCAAATTTCCAATGATCAATGTCATATTGTATACCTAAAATGTACCAGTAAAATTAATTTTTAGAAAAATCCTAGACTCAAAACTACCCACAAACTACATTTAGTAGCATAATTGTCGTGAGTGTTTATTGAGTAAAAGTACTTATCAACTGAGCTAGATATTGTGGGATTTAGAAACAAGAATACAGTCCTTCTCACTGCTTTCACCTCTACTGTGTGCTGGTCAGGCCAGGGTGCTAGGTACTCTATAGAGCTTAATTTCATTCTTAAAATAACCTTGGTATAAAGGCAACATTTTTACACCATTTTACAAATGAGGATACTTACCTGTTTTATGTTATATACCCAAAGTCACAGTAAAGTCCCCAACTTTAGGTAGTTTATAATGTATTAGAGGAAATGAGATACATAAGAAAGTTTCTGTTAATAATTTAAAGATGTATTTTACAAGTCAGTGTAAAAGTATATTTAATTCTATTAATAAGTACCATGAGTTAAAAGGAGTGTCTCTACGTCTCGAAACTTGAGTAGTTAAATGAAGTAATATTTGTTACTTGCTTAGCATGGAACACAGTGCGAGATGGATATTGTCATTTCTGTTAATTGTGAGTAGAATTTCGATAGTTGCAGAGAGAGGGAGGGGTATGTAGTGTGTAAAGCCTGAAAGACATGTAATTTTGAGGAATGGCCAGAATGGAGTTCCTGTGACATAGTGAGAGATGATATGGTCAGGCAGGTAGGTTGTACGTTTATCTTAGAAGGCTTTGAATGCCACGCTAGACTGTACCTTCTCCCTTCACCTCTTAATGGTTCCATCCATTCTGTAGCTTTTCCATCCTTTGTATAGAGTTAAGTACCTTCTGGTGCCAAAGCTTTCATGAAAAGCATTACAAGGAACCAAGTTTTTCCTTTGGACACGTTTTCCTGTTAGGAAGTGCCTCCTTTTCCTGCACCAGATCTGAAGATTTGTTTCACTGGCATTAGACCCAGAGTAGCCTCCTGGAGGGAATCCCTATGTCAGATGTGTGAGGGTTGATCTGTGCTTCCCTTGGGTGTTTTCATACCCTGGCCTGGCCTAATATTACCAGTTCCCACATCCAGACTTCATTGGGCTCCTATTGAATTACTCTCCTAAGTAAGTTTGTTTGGCAACTCCCCTGGAATTAAGTTTTAATTCCTTTAGATTACTAAACATTAAATGATGATAGGTTATTTGTTACTTCTAAATTATATTTTTGTTTCATTTATAACTTATAATATTGCTTGGTTATAGTGTTCTCCTTAGAAAAATGACTATGTAGATTATTGGTTATTTTTAACAAATTGTCATTAGGAATTTAATCTTAGAACAAAAATCACTTGTATATAAGTATTTCAGAATTATTTCTGATGAACAAAACTATTGGAAATAAGTTTTATTATTCAAATACATTAATTATCCTTTTCATATGTTAAGCTTATATTCTGTGCCTTAGAGTAGGCTAAGTACTTTATACATAATCATCCTATTTAATCATGGAAATCTTACCAGTGAACTATTATCTTCATCTAAAATTTAGGTGGCTGAGACTTGGAGAAGGAAAATAATTTTCATACAGAGATATTAAAGTGCTCATCTAGCCACTATCTAATAGTGTTTGAACTCTTTTTCTATTAATGCTTTTTTTTGTGTTGCTTTTAGTGACAGTTGTTTTCAGTATTCCCATTAAGTAAGCAATTATGTTTGTGATAAACGTTTTTGAAGTGTTACACATTTCATTGTATTTTTCAACATCAAGCAAGGTTTTGTTTCTCACAAAACTGATCAGAAATAATAAAAGATGGCTCTGTTTCACTTGAACTTGAAAGGACAAGAATAAGAAGCAGTATTTCATGAAAGTTAAAGCATTTATAGTTCATTTCTCAAAATTGTTCAGTGCCAAAGTGCCCCAGGTCTATCCTCAAGTTTTGTGTTTCACTAGACTAATCTATACGACTCAGCAAATAGTAATACTCGTGATTACAGTTTATTACAGCTAAGAATACAAAGTAGGATCAACAAAGTAAAAAGGTGCATAGGGCCAAGCCTAGAAAAAGTGACGCTCAAGTTTCTAAGAGTCCTCTCTCAGGAGTCACATGGGCATGCTCAATTCCTCCAGCAAGGAGTTGTGGTAAAGTATGCAAAGTGCTGTTTATGAGAGAAGTTCATTGGAGACCGAGGACCCAAGTTTTGGGGGGGACTTGTTACATGGACACCCTGTGCCCTGTTTGTACCCAAATTCCAGACTGTCAGAAGGAAAGTAGTATTCATTATAAACTATGCTGTCTATACAGTTTGGGCACCATGAGCAACTCTTAACACTCAGAGAAAGTTTTATGTCACTTCAGGGGACAGTTTATCAGTCAAATTCCTACATGCCATTCGAGGGTCAGCCTGCAAGCTGACCTTTGTTAAGGATAGACGATCACATACCTCCTGTGTTAGGTGTTACGTGAGATTCAAGAGGCACTTGGGAAATTATTACTATTCACTTTTGAAAAAATAACTTCCTTATTGTAGCTTTCCAAAGCGTGTATTATATCATATCATTTGAGCCACCTCAAATTGTTGCTTTCTGTTATCCCTATAATTGTAAATAACAAGTGACTTGGTAATATAGGCCATATGATTTTTAAACTAAACTGGTGCAGGTGAGGCCTCCCATTAAGCTAATAACTGGTTGAAAGAAGATCATGGTAGTCTAGTCTCTAGACATTCTTTTAAGCAGGGGACCTTGTCTCTTCTTTATCACCATGTGGCACAATATCTGGCCTCTAGTAGGTGTTTACATATTTACTGAGTTGAGTGTGCAAGTGAAAAAAATATATCTGATGGGGTGCCAGAGAAACTTAGTTTATAAAATGAAAAATGGCAAAAGAAGAAAGCATCAGTCCCATTTCAGAGATTTTCAGGGATTCACCAATAATTTATTGTTTTAATCCATTTGGCTCTTCTGAAGTATTAAGATAGGATGGGGAAAAGAAATTAGTTTATTGCTTAAAGGGATTGCTTATTTAAATTTTTCAGCAGCCCACTTTCTCATGGCACACCTTTTAAATAGAATTCCCAAGGTATAGAACAAGTGTTGCCTCTTTTCATTGCCTTTATTTTTTTTTCTATTTAAATTTTGTTTTCTTTATTTCCTTTACAGTAATATTCAGGAGGCTTCTCAACAGTTGGCTCCACCTGCAGCTCTAACTCGGAGCGGGCCTGAGAGCTCAGAGAGCGCAGGCCCCAGCAGACCAGGGGCAACCAGCCTCACGGCGGCTGCAGCATTCAAGCCCGTGAGCTCCACCAGCGCAATCAAGTCTCCAGGCTGGCAGCGGCCAGACCAAGCAGGTAGGGCAGAGAAGCCTCTTACTGATGCTTGTCTTCACTGGGCAGTTACAAAAATGTGTTATGGGGGCCGGGGATTTAGCTCAGTGGTTCTGCCACCTGCCTCGCAAGTGTAAGGACTGAGTTCGATCCCCAGTACCAAAAAAAAAAAAAAAGTGTTACGGAATATATGGTAGAATTCTCTAGTGAAACCCATTCTCAACCATTGAAGATTTAGAAAAAACTATAACTATAGCCATTTTGCTGTTTGAAGTCATAAACATTCTCATGTTTGATGCAATTGTCACTTGCTATTTATAATTATAGAGTTGGCCACAAGAACCATGTTTTGAATTGTAAATTTGGAGTCTTATTTCATAACAAACTATATATTTGGAAGATTATTCCTGGAAATAGAACATGTTGGTTTTTATAATATGTACAAAAACATCTATTGCCACCGAACAGTTGTTGAAAAATCTTTTGCTTCCTGTTCTCTGAAGAATTACAATGCAGAAGTAGTGTTAGAAAGATAATAGTATTAGAAAGAGAAAAAGAATACTTGAATGATAGGATGGAACAACTCTGCACAGTTAAATAAAGTCACTTAACCTCTTTGACCCTCAGTTTTCTGGTCCACAAAATAGAATTTAAACTCATTTTCAGTTTCTCCCAACATGAACAAAGTTTATAAGCATACAGAGTTCCTCTATTAAGGGGTGGGGTGGGGGTGGGGGTGAACTTAAATGATGCCAGGCCTGAGCTTACTTTGATGTTTTTTCATGCTTTGAATGCCATCTGGATGATTCTCATCCAGGTTCATTTTGCTGCCTAGCCGTCAATAATTTATAATCCTCTCTCTGCTGAGCTCCACATCCTCAAACCCATTGAACTATTTGCTGTCTCCTGGAGGCACCACAAATGCATTGTGTTTGAAAATATCATTTCCTACCTCTGGATGGCACACCCACTCAGCTGCTAAATGTTGGGGTCTAAATGTAGGCCCCATCTAGATGATGGGGTCTAAAGTTTACATTCTAGCAATAACTAATAGCACATTCTCAAATTTCTTCTCTCCTCTGTCATCAGAGCCATTGCCTGAATTCAATCCCTCATGGTAGTATTATCTACACAGTTTATTTCATGGTGGCATGTTATATGTTGCTCATTTTACAAAGTAAAATAGTGGATATTTCAGTATCCAAGTTATCCCTTGGTATCCACAAAAGATTGCTGCCAGGACTCCCTAAAGATAGCAGAATCTACAAATCTCAAGTTCTTTATTTAAAAATATTTAGTATTTGTATATATCCTACACGCAGCCACCTATGTACTTTAAATCATCTCTAGATTATTTGTAATACCTGATACAGTGTAAATGATATGTAAATAGTCATTACACTGTATTGTTTAGGGAATATTGACAAGAATATATCAATACATGTTCACTACGGACACAGTTATTTTTTTCCCTGATATTTTCAATTTGCCGTTGGTTGCATCCCCCAATATGGAAACTGCAGATACAGAGGCCGGACTATTTGTGCTGTAGGAGAAAAAGTATAAGCTATTGCATATGATCTAGACTGTTTTAAAGGAAAGACTGTTTCATTACTTTTAAAAAGTTAAAATATTCAGACTAGTGTCATTGACCTCAGGAATGTCTAGACTATTGACTTCTGTTCTCTTGAGGGAAATTGCTGACAATGCTCAGCCATTTTGAGTTATTTCCACCTACCAACGCCTATATATGATGATGGAGATTCCCTGTACTTATTTGCTATATCTGTGTAATACAGAAAATAACTTTCAGAAAAATTCCTTTAGTATGGCAATTGGAAACTAACAAAATGTTTTGTAAAATAGGAAGAACTAAATGTCTGAGTTATAAACTGAAAGGAAGGCAGAAAATATATGCAGCAGGGGACAAAAGTGTATGTCCTGCTTTTGAAAGTTCAGAAATTTATGATTAAAGTAACTGCTCTGACCCTTGAAATAGAAAGAATTCAGGTTGGTACTGAATTCCTGGAGAATTCAGCAGAATAAAATTACCACAAGAGGGCAACAGAATCCTTTCTTCTCTGAGTCATTGAAATAAAAGACAAATCACAGCAACTATAATAATCATGATTTACATGGTTAATATTTAAAACATTTTTTTCAGAATGTATGTCAATTTAATAAGACAAAAGTATAACAATTTAAAACATTATATATTACATTATAAAACAATACTATAAAAAGAAAGTACGTTTCCCATGTGAAGTCATAGTTGAATTACATCAGAATCCTTAACTGAAATCAGAAAATATTTCCTGAGCTCCTGCTGTTTATTTTGTTCTAGATGCTGGAAATAGGCATTTAGAAAGTTATATTATGAAATTTACTTACTTTGCATTTTTTTGTAAAATTTAAAAATAAACACAAAATTCCCAGCCTCTTAAATTCTTTTCTTCCCTACCCCAAGATATATCATTTTTTTAAAAATTCAGAATTTACTCTTCGTTTCTGATAAACTTAAGGGCTTTCTACTACAAACTTACAGGTTCTTTTGGAGGTGACAACTGTCTTCTTGCGAGTTCTGGTGGACTTCACAATTCACTTGGGAAAATGACATTGCCAGCACTGTCTAAAAGCTAAACAGCTGAGTGATCAGGCTCAGGTGGGCTCAGTTAAAGCATCACAGCACGTGAAGTTGCTTCTGTCACAGTGAGAGCTTCCAGCTTTTTCTTGAAAATTCATATGAGCTCTAGTGTCACTGGGGAAGGGGGAAAGAAATTAGATTTGACTTCTCCCACTGTCCCTTCACTGACAGATCTCCAGAAAGTCACAATGAGCAGTAAATTGTTTTAAGATAATTTCTATAGTTGGGTGGGAGGGAGGGGATCAAAATCACTAAGTTGAAGTCAGGGATCCACTTAGTTGATTCTGAAGTCATTTTGATGGATTTTAGGCAGCATTTAATTTTTATTTTTGAGATATAATATTTGTGTATCATTCTGGGTACATTGGGTTAATGCAGTGCATGTATATCATGTGTAATGGTTAAATCAAGGTAATAAGCACTTCCGTCTCTTCAAACGTTATTTTTATACATTAAGAATTTTATGCTCTTGTGTAGTCAAAAAAATTTTTTATGGAATGGAATAGAAAATATAGTATTTTGACATACAATATTGAATAGGTATCATTTTATGAAAATTTTATGAATTTTAGTAGACTTCTGTAACATATGCAAGCACATGCAGATATGTTTAGGGTAAAACATTTCTTACTATTATACAGTTTAAAAATAGTCTGAGAATCACTGATTCAAAAAAATTTTATTCATACTTCTGTTTATCAAGTGGTAACTAAAGTGTTTTTGAAATAATGGGTGGAAGGAAGACTGCATTGAAAGAGTTGATTGAAATTTTAAGACATACTAGTGTATTTTGAGCCTGTTTCGGGTTCCTATTGCATCCATTGGAGTTCTGACTTTAAATCTCAGATCATTTCACTTGTGGTGTTACATATCCTGTGTTACCCAGAAATCTTTCAAGAACACAGTAATGCTACACCAGTTGATAAATAGAGTAGGTGTATACATAATGGCATTAAAGCTGAGATTGCATCATCATCTTTTTCTCAGGCCTATAGTTTAACATACTCAACACACACAAGCTTGGAGCCACTCTCAAAAAGGGAAATATTTTAGGATGCAAATAGTCAGAAGTTCATAGTCTCAACAGAACTATTAAGGTACGAAAGAAGTAAAAGTCCAAGCTTTAGTTTTCTGCAAACTAGCAATACTACTATCTACTTGTCCTCTGTCTTTTGTAACACTACTTCTATGAATAAGGTGTATAGTTGCTTTAGAAATATTGACTTGAATCTAGAAAAATATATAAAAGGTGAGATTTTTCTTGTTACTTTTCAGAATCAAAGAGTTGTATTTCTTTCAACTTATATTTGAATTTACTGTATTTGGTTTTTATTAAAATTTTATGCCAGAAACCTTTGTATTACATATAATTAAGTGGTTAGATAAGTATTTTGAAACCTTTGTTTATTGGTATAAGTTTAAAAATATATCCCCATGTTTATCTAAGTGACCTATTTGCTGTGTTACGTGTTTCCTAGATTTTTTGTAAGTTATGGATAGCTGATTAGGTAAATTTAGCTCATTAGATGAAAATATATGTATAAAGCATTTTTCTCTTACCAAATATAGTCAAGTATTTTTCTCAACACCAAACACAGTCAGATATTTTTCACAAACCCAGGCTTAACATCACAAACAGCCACTATATTTTGGCATTTTTTATTTCCTGATTTTAGTTGAATCATACTCAAAATGAAAATGATTAATTTACTGGAGAGTAGTGCTTTGCCAGATCTACTCATTTTTTTGATTAGTGTGGCCCTGAAGAGTAGGAATGTGTGCCCTGTGGGGTATGGATTTTAGAAGGCTAGCATTTTTGAGTATGTGGTTTTCTCATCTAAGTAAGGATCTGAAAAGAGTCCACGCTAGCATCATTGTGAAGACGAAGTGATATAACCTATGAAAGTGCCTGGTGCATAGAGAATACTCAAGAAACATTAAGTTTCTACCTTTTATTCCTTTCCTGGTAGCATTGATACATGTATTGCTACCATCCTGTCCTACAAACCTTTGGTGATAGCTTTATCACAGCATTCATCGTGTTCATTTTAATTATTTATGTGTGTGTCTTTTATCATTGTAAATGTCAGTGAGTAGCTGAGAGGGTAGGTAGATCAGTTTCTTTTATTTTGGAAACTTCCTGTGATTTGGGGGCCACAACACTCAATTGCCAAGATATTCTGTCCTCCTCTCAGAGTTGAAATTCCAACAGCCAGTGGAAGCACTGTTGGCAAAGGCAGCTATTAAAATAACAAATTGCAAAGGGTAAGGGGACTGTCTCATGCAGCATTGAGCACCATAACAGCTAAGGCTCTGAACATATGCAGCATTATAGTTAGTACTATATTATTTATATTCACTAATTTAAAAGATTAATAAC